TATAAGTGTCAGAGCCTCTAAAATAATAAGAGTACATACTTCAATAGATTACAAGAACCAAAACTGTTAAGAATATTTTGCGTAGTTACGATGAACGAGTAGCTCAGGTTATAGTTTGATAAGTTACATTCGTAGTAATTCTTCCTGCTCCTTTAAAATTACTTATGATGTTATAACAGGGCTACTTCAGATGCCTTAGATAATTAATCCAGCTAATAAAAATACAAAATTTATCCAGATGTTTCAAAGGTAGAATTTTGAATCGTCTGTTTTATCATAAACCAAAAACTAAAATTTGCCATATGATTCCTATTGTTCTACCATGCAGTTACAAATACAAAAGAGAACTTACTTTATATGTGATGGATACTTTAATTCCAATAAAAAAATTGACGAACACTAAAATCTCACTTATTATGACGTATCTTTTATTTAAAACAAAATTTCCCTGTATTAAAGCACGTCGAAAAAAAATAACTGCTGCATGTAATTAACGATGATGGAACATCAGCTGAAAATGCTAAATGAATATTAGAAAAGCATGTTAAGTGCATAAAATCTTTAAAATGTAAATTCATAGGTAGTTATACAAAAGCTTATGAAATAAGAAATATATTTAAATTCATCATGTTATTGTTTTGATATTTTGAAAAGTGTACTATTAGGTATTTTTAATAATGATGTATAAATTTTTAAAGTAATCAATAATAATTATGTTTTTTTTTTTCTGAACTAATTCCAATAGTACAAGATGATTTTTTATTAAACTTTTTTATTCTTGTTATTTTTATGTCTAAATACTACGTGAGGTAAAAAAGAAGAGGATACATGTAAGAAAGTATTACGGTTTCTTAAATCGAAAGGAGTGTCAAGAATGGTACAAATTGTTGTATGTGCATTGAACACGTCCTCCAAGTAAACGAGAGAAGATGAATGAAAGAAAAATATGATGGGAGAATACAAAAATATAATTAATGATACTGATACATGCAAATATTAACATGTTTTTGAATAAACAATATTTATGAATTTTATTACAAAAAGTGTACGCATAGGTCAACATGACCCATCTTCAAATGAATAAACGTATGTGTCCACTGATAAGAATTAGAATAATATTTATTGTATTTATCTTTGCTGAGAGGGAAGAGGCGCCACTGTAGCTGTTACAGCAATATTTGTAGTATAAGACGATGGATTTGAAGGATCAAGTAAAGACTGAGGGGTATAGTTATTTCCTCTTCCTCTTCCTCGACCTCTTCCACGACCCCTACCACGCCCCCTCCCTCTTCCGCGTCAACTTCTTCTTTCAGGCATACCAATATTGCTAGTTGTTTTTTCCAAGAAAGCTAAGGGGCCTTGTAGAGAAGTGGTATTAAGACTACCTACAGCATATCCAGAATTTCTGACATTTGTAACATTTCCTTGATTCATGAAAATATTTTGAGAGCCTGTGGTAGTTCCAGGTGTTTGTAATCCTGATGTTAAAGTTGAGCTAGTTCCTTGTTGAAACTGTGAAAAAAATTAATTTTGAAACTATTTTTTATTCCATTATTATTTTGTAAAATTTTACAACAACATGATATTTTTAAACCATTAGTTGTAGAAAAGTGCAATATCTAAGTGAATAAAATAAACATTAAGTGAGGATGAAAAAAAATTAAAACACAGTACATTTTTGCATAATAACGTGGAAATGCATACAACTTCTTACTACATCAGAATTTATTTTGTTATTTCAGAATCTTACGTTCAGCATTAGTACTACAAACATTTTAATCTCAAACGACTGCAGCGATAGTATACATCGCTAGCCAAGAGTTAATTTTTAAAATAAAGGTAATACTATGAAATACTTGTGGAATAAAGTATGCTCTTAACTACAGAACGTATCTTATGTCTTGTTATGATTTCCTGTTCATAGCTTAATACTTTTTATATTATCAAGTGCTAAAAGGAGAATAAACTCTCTCTGTACTCGGACAGAGAAAATAGTCTCAATAATATCTGATAACGAACACAGTTATCTATTTTTACTGACAAAGAGTCTACCATTTTAATTAAAAAAAAATACTGATTTTATTGAAGCCGGTACTTTAGAGTATTTTCGTAGCAGTTAAAATTACATTTCAACTATTGTAGAATTTTCTAGAATGTTCAAATGTGCCTATTACGAGTGTCACAAAGGTAGTTAATTATTTGTGTGTGCATACATAGAGAATTATTATACTTGTAGTTGAGAGTAAACGTTTTGGGATTTAAATTTATATTGAGCTTGTCACTCTTGCCTTCACTCACGATTCATTAACATCGTCTTGCAAAAGGATTCATAAAGCAAAGCGTGGTTGCAAAGCATTATTTTATTTAAGCGACTATTTCAAAGCTAATTTTTTTATTTAAATGTTGAGTTAAGTTAATTGGTATTGTAATTTTATCAGTTCTACCGAAAAATTTTTGTAAACAACCATAGTGTAATATATACTTGATAGAAAAACGAAATAGTATATTGTATTTGTGTGTGTTTCTGTTAAAAACGGAGTCCAGTGAAAGAAGGCCAATTTTCTCATCCTCGCAGAGATCTTGGCAATTGGTGTAACAGCTACACCAATTTCAATTTACCTTACCAAAAATATACTATTTAAATTTGTTCAACAAATAACGTACCAACTTGATCATCAACTACAAAGAATATTTTAACTTAGTTTTTCGTAACAAAAAATTATCTGTTTGATTTTCTTCTAAAAAAAAATTGGTTCATTTCAAATTTTATAATTTTTAACTACAATATAAAGACATTCAATTTCTTATTTTATACTTAGATCAGCTCTTATTTTAGATGCCTAAGAATTTTGATTCTACTTATTGTTTAGAACGTGAACAAGCGTGTTAGAAACAGTGATGAACATGCAGGTATGCGTGGCACACGTGCGCGTTCATGCATAGCTTTCAACTGATAAGCTGTGAAATTAGCAACTTTTTGTTTGTCAATACCCTAATTAGGATTATAAACGAAAACTTTTTCAAACTTCACCCATTTCTAAATAAAATTTTACCATGTCTTTCATAAAAACAATAAATATTATTATTTTAAGATAAAGAAAATAAGAAAATTAAGTCATGTATTACTCTTGATAAATACAAAATTAAAAGCAATTTGTTACCACATTTTAGCAGACGATATGGATACATCTTTAAATAAAGTTGATCTGAATACTTCTTATAAATGAAACAACCAAATTTACTATTTTATTAAATGGTTTTACAGCCAAGAAAATACGTATCATAAAATAGACTGTGCTACGTATTAAGATGCAGGTCTCACGCTGAAGAAAAGTTTTATGGATCTTTTGAAGAAATAATATTGTTATAAGTGTCAGAGCCTCTAAAATAATAAGAGTACATACTTCAATAGATTACAAGAACCAAAACTGTTAAGAATATTTTGCGTAGTTACGATGAACGAGTAGCTCAGATAGTTATTGAGACGACAAAATTAAACGTATTTTTTCTTTGGATGAACAAAACATTCGGTGTTTTACATTGTGGGGGTGGAACGACCGCTTATTCACAGAGAAGAAAAAGATGGGCTCAGTGCTCGTAGTATACCATGAACTTAGTTAATCAAGTGTCTCTAGTGTCGGAAGCGGCTCTTGAGTCTCGTACATCATGGCTCTTTTGTTATTGCAGATGCGATATTAAATAATTTCTTGAGCATTATAGGTTTTTCTTTATAACTTTTATAATATTAATTTATTTACAATAGTTTGAACCATAAAATTGAATGAAAAATTTTATTCTGTGGTTGTCTGAGATGATGAAAAATTAGTATTTTAACGGTGATAAGAAAAATCTATACAACTTTCTCGAGTTTTGTAAAAAAGATTTGAGAAAAAAAGATTTATCAGACTCCACAGTATGAGACAGTATGATAGAGTAATAATAAAATAGAGTAAAATGTGAATTTAAAATGGAAAATATCACATTAGAAAAAACCTTTCTTACATGGTTATTGATTAGTATTAATAAAATAATAAGAACATCTTGTTTTCTTGTTAAAAATACACACACACACACACACAAATATAT